GAGGATTCTGCATCTGTCTGCCAGCCGAAGCCAGCGCAGTTCCACACAACATACTATAGGCTTTTAGTCAGGTTACATCACCAAAGCCTGACTCGGAATTTACCTGGCGCTTCCCATTCAATCGGTAAAAGTCAAAGTGATCGCCGTCTGAGAGCAAACCGTATACGTCACGAGCTGGCTTTCCGGCGTCTTGCCGGCATTTCTGCACTACCACTACTCCCATTACTTTATTAGTAACCCTTGTTACTTACCCCGACATTGAGATCAAGCTAAAGCGAGATTTACTTACGCATATACCCCAGAAGGTGGGGCACCCCGGAAGATCTCATCTCTTCCATTTTGACCTCGATGGCCAGAAGATGCTTATGAGCATCATCCCCATCACCGTAACACAAGGACCAATCCACATTCCCAGCAAGCTCGATTCTCTTCTCGGGGAAACGTGCAACCATCATAGTCTCATACTCGAGATGAACCGCCGCGTGTTCATTCTCTGGATTTCCCAATCCTCCTACTACCGCCTGAAGAAACAGATCTATACGGCTTCTTACTTGGGCTTAGTGGCTCTAAGCCATATATCTAGTGCTTGACCTCAGTATAATGTCAGTAGACTTGTCACTGTAAGTCATTGCCAAGCAAGGTGACCGGCTCACCTAGATGTTGCGCCCACTGCGACGCCCGCGATTGCCAACATCGTTGCACGACGGCCACTGTTTCGAATACTCAATTAGCAAGACTTAGTCGTAGCCTGGGGTAAATGACATAGAGCAGGATAGACTCACGTAAAGTAGCCAGGAGTTGAGCCCCATGACAAGTCTCTCTGGACTTTGCCTCGATGCAGGCAAGGTTCTTGAAATTATCGTTGCCGTCGCCATAGCAAAGCGACCAGTCCACGTTCCCTGTGGGGTTCTTCTCTGGGATCGATAGAGATCTCGAAAGATGATCAGGTTCTCCTCGCTCAATTCGGATGAGAAGGAAGAGGAAGTAGAAGTGGAGAGGTTCGAGGAGCTGGAGGAGGAGTAAGAGGAGGAAGAGTTGGTGACCTCGGTCTGCCTGCAGGAAACTTGGGGAATGGTGATTCCGTTGAATGATGGAGCAGTGTGAATATCGGCTTCTACTTGTGAATCTGGTGGTGGGAGAGGCTTGATTGAATGTTGGAAGGAGCGATCAGGAGGACGAGGGTGAAGGAGAAGGCGCGACGAGGGTACTATAGCAGCCTGCTTTAGGGCCTGTTCTAGCAGTGAAGTACCGGACTGTAGACTACCTAGTCCTTGGCCGGTGAATGTCGATCGCGAGCAGGTTCGGGTTGCCAGCTGCAGTCACGAGGATCGTCATGATGAAGACGACCAGATCATCATGTTGAGGTAGGGCTGCGGGCGTTCTTCGAAATGAGGTTACAGTGACGAGATGGACCCAGTTTGCTTGGTGACACATCCACCTTTGGGGAAATTAAGATCAGAGACAGCAAGTCCATAGCTCGGTCTACTGTCTCTCCCCTGAGCAAACCTCTTCTCGCGATGGAATCTACCAACAGCGACACCATGAGCCCCCTCCTCTGCCTCCCTCGGGAGGTATTCGACATGATCCTGCAGCTCCTCCCCCCTCCAGCGCAGGTGTGTCTACTCCTAACATGCCGCGGTCTCTACCACCACCAAGTCTACAACGCCACCATCAAAGACCTCCGCCCCCAATTCCAGATCACCTCCGACATGATGAACTACAACAAGAAGCGAGGCTACGATCGACCGACGATCTACCGCAGGGCCCTCCTCCGCCAACTCCAAGACGACCGCTGGGCCTACTGCTTCGCATGCTTCGAGCTCCATCCGCGGGCCGAATTCGACAGCTACAGCTGCCACCACCGAAGGGCGCCGTTCCTGGCGCTCAGCACCAGCGCCATGTGCACGGCGCAGACGGGCATCGTCGACCTCTGCCCCTGCATCAGCCTCACCGCGCGCCACAAGATGCGGATTGCCCGCTACCTCGCGAAGGATGCGTCCGACCCGCAAGACCGGCGGTATGCCCGCATCGACGCGGACCCCCGCTTCCGAGTCATCCCCACCGGTCCCCACACCCGCGGCCTCGTCCACGACTGCAACATCCCCGCCTGCTGGGCGGGTGACATCCTCTCCCACAGCATGGTCCTCTTCCTCGACAGTCGACGGAACCTGATTGCGCACACGTGGTACCGCATAGCCACCCGCCGGGGCAGTGCCGGGTGGTCCTTGTATGCGTGTCCGCATTATCCTCTCCTGGCCTTTCACTACATTGAGCCGGTACTCAGGCCTTCTCACGTCTGTCCACTTTGTCGAGCGCAGTGGCGCACGGAGCTCGGGTGGCCGTGGCGGGACGAGCTGTGGGTGACCCTCACCAGGAATCTGGGGGGTGCGCGGTGGCCGCCCGATGCGGCGTGGCAGGCGCAGCGTCGGGTGCGGAGTCGGGATTGGTACAGAAAGATGTTCAAGGAAGACAGAATGGGGATGGATTGGGTGCAAGATCGGGATATTGTGGACGATTCGTATGGGGAAGAGAGTGCAGGAGATCCGGGCGAGTGGGATTATCTGTATGAAACGGAATCGGAGTTCTTCAACGAATTGGACGAGTCGGACGAGTCGGAGTCAGATGATTCACTCATTTCGGACGATTCAGACGAGTCGGAGGAGTCGGAGGAGTCCGATGATTCACTCAGTTCGGACGATTCAGACGAATCAGAGGAGTCAGACTATTCGGATGATTCGGAGGATCCAGCAGATTCAGCGGATACAGATGATTTTGACGATTCAGGGTGATTCCAAGGTCTGGAGGCGTGAAGCGTGACACAATTCAGATGATATGAACGATGCGATATGCTTTCAGGCATGACTCGGCGAACTGACTCACTTGATTGATTTTGGTGGCTGGTGCGTATGGGAATAGCTTAGAAGCAGAGTAAGTTCCTGGAAGAATAAATGCAACAGAGGCTGCATAAGCTCTCGTAAAAGCTCTCGTTCAGGGTACGTACACCTACAAACCTGCTAGACTCTTTCAAGGCTATGCCTTGGCCCCCCCTCAGAATCGTAGAGTTAAGGTTAAAGCCCGCCGCCCCACAGGAACCCTAACTATTAGCTCACCCTTACCAATACTGCAGCCTACATCTTGTTTTGCCTGCTTGCCACCTCAGACCCTTTGCTTCGGTGTACACATGATGTCACTGTACAACCTGCTCCCTGCTTTCTTCCCACCAGGTCCTCTATCCTGATCACTGGTGATACCAATCTTTAGATCATGGCACAGTCACTACACAAGATGCGAAAGATTCAATACATTTGATCAATGTATGCGGACGATTGAGCCCTCAACTATCCCTTAGAACCGACAGTGTATCCCCAAATTTCAATGGCGCCATAAGGATGGCTTCAAACAATCAATACGGAAAACGCCTTGCGGTCAACTACATCGACCAAACCGCTCGAAGCGATCCATCCAGGACAGCGGTGTATCAGACCGTTACAGTTGATGCAAGCACTGAAACGCATACAGTGAAATATCGCAACCTCGCCAACATCATCAACAACCTGGCCAGGTGGCTGGACGAGCTCACACCAGTGACAGAGAAGCACACGCGAACCGTTGGGTTAGCTCCATCTCCATGCTGCGGGATCATGGTCTAAGTCTCTGCTAGATATCTTGCTGCCAGCGATGTGAGACACTTAGCGATCGTTTGCGCGGCGGTGAAATCTAGATGGAAGGCAGGTTACAGCAGCAAAGGATCCGTACGTCTCTTGTCTTCTACTACTGACACCATCGCAGGTCCTTCTGCTATCCTCCCGCAACACCGCCGCCGTCCATACTCACCTCCTGCGCGAAGTAAACAGCTCCCTCCTCGTCTACGATGAACCGTTCCGTGGCATTGCGGAGACAGTCCAGCGGGACGGACACATACAAATTCGCGCTGCACCGTCCCTGCTCGAATGTCTGCATTACGGGAGCATTGGCAGAGACTACCCCTACAACGGAACCTGGGAGACCGCTGCAAACGATCCGTTCGTGGTAGGCACTTACCAATCACTCCGTCGAGTATCGTTGCCACTAATCTCAGATTCAGATCCTCCACACCACCGGCTCAACAGGGATGCCCAAGCCCGTGACCATCCCGCAGAGCTCCATCGCCGCGACGGACGCACACCACTTGGTCGCATCGATCACCGGCCAGAAGGCCGAGATGGCCGTCGCCGCCGAAGCCACCACCGTCCTGCTGGGCCTTCCGCTCACCCACAGTGCAGGGCTGGGACTCGGGTGCTTCCTCCTTCTGGCGGAGTGTGCCCTGTTGCTGCCGGGGCCCGACAAGCCGGTGAGCCGGCAGACGGTCCGCGAGGGTGTTCGGTCCTGTCCGTTTGATGCAGCCTTGCTACCTCCATCCGTAGTCGATGATATCGCCGAGGATGAGCACCTCATCACTGAGCTGGCGCATTGTAAATACATCATGTTCGGTGGCGGTGCGTCTCCCCACCTTTCATCCATACGAACTCGCGCACGCTAACCGACCAAACCCGACAGGGTGCATCAAACCTCAAACAGGCGAGGCCCTCTGCCAAAGAATCCGGCTCATCAACGAGATCGGCACCACAGAGAGCGGCTCGCTAGTGCAGTTCGCCGTCCCCTCGGAGAACTGGGACTGCTACCGGTTCAGCGACGAGTTGAACGGCATCGAGTGGAGGCGCACGGGGCCGGACTCGGACGAGTATGAGATGGTCCTGGTCCGCCGTCCCGCCGCGAGTCGGTTCCAGGCGGTGTTTCGGACGTTGCCCCATCTGCACGAGTTCGCGACCAGGGACCTGTTCGCCCGGCACCCGACTATTGCGGACGGATGGGTGTATCGTGGCCGACGCGATGATGTGGTGGTCCTGTCGACGGGGGAGAATCTGAATCCGCGGGAGATCGAGGACGCCGTCCGCTCGAGTCCCGGGATCGCCGGGGCGGTGGTTTTTGGGTCCGCGTTCCCGCAGCCAGGCCTTCTGGTCGAGCTAGATGGGTCCAGGGCAGCGGAACAGGTCAAGGACGGGGTGCTGGCGGTTCTGGAGAACGTCTACGCCATGTCTCCGGATTTCGCCCGTGTCCCAGCGGACAAGATCATTTTCGCGGAGAGCGCTAAACCCTTCGTGCGGACTTCGAAGGGAACAACGCAGCGGAAGAAGACGATCCAGGCTTACCAGGAGGACATCAACGCCCTGTATGACGGTCCTCCGGCCGTGTCCACCGAGACGGAGATGTGCTTTGACTTTTCGTCTAAGGAGGCACTCGCCACTTCTCTGGCGAGCTTTGTTGCAAACCTGACGGATACCAGACACCTAAGCCCGGAGCATGACTTCTTCGAGGCTGGGATGACGTCGCAACAAGTCGAGATTCTGGCCACGAGTCTGCGACGCGGAATTCAAAACGAGCCAGACAGTAACCTGGACGATAGTTTACTCAATCAAGACGCCGTGTACTCGGCACCATCTGCGGGCAAACTTGCATCCTTAATTTTCAGTGATGGCGATGCGTCCCTACGTATCCATAAGCAGAACCGCATAGAGAGAATGGCGGCAATGCTGGAAAGGTATGCGCGACTACATACTATACCCCGCCCGCTTCCCCCACTGACAAGGTAACAGGTATACAGCATCCCTCCCAAGAATCGAGTCCAGCCACACATCCCCGCAACACAAAGGCATCGAACACATCCTTCTGACCGGAAGCACCGGCTTCGTGGGCTCCCACCTGCTCCGAGAGCTATGCCATCGCCCCGAAGTCCAGAGCATCACCTGCCTCGACCGCGCAAACCCAGCACGACACCAGCCCCAACCCACAGAACCGCACCACATACCTATCAAGATCCAACATCTGACCGCAGACCTATCAGCGCCGAACCTCGGGCTGGAGAAGCAGACCTACACCGCGCTGACCGACTCCGTAACCACAATCCTGCACTGCCAGTGGCCCGTCGACTTCCACCAGCCCCTCTCATTCTTCGAGCCCCAAATCCAGGGAATCGTCGCAGTGACAAACTTCGCCGTCGAATCCACGCACCGTCCGCGCATTATCTTCCTGTCCTCTATCTCGACAGTAGCGAACTGGAACGAAGACCGCGCTGTTCCCGAAGCCTCCCTCGGCTCACTGAAACATGCGCAGACAGGATACGGCGAGAGCAAGCTGATCGCCAGCCTTCTGCTCCATCGAGCAGGGGAACTCGCCGGCATGCGAGGATCGATCTGCCGCCTGGGCCAAATCGCCGGACCGGTGGACTCAGCAGGTGTATGGCCTCGTCGAGACTGGTTCCCGTCGCTGCTCGACAGCTCCCAGGCCATCGGGTATCTGCCGGACTCCCTGGGGGCGCAGGATACTCTGGCCTGGATTCCGGTTGATTTTCTGGCAGAGTTGATAGCCGATCTCGCGCTGACGGGAGAAAGGAGCGGGGAGACGACGTCTTACTACCATTTCGTCAACCCACAGTCGGCCAAATGGGCGGATATGGCACCGAGCGTGATTGCTCAGCTGCAGGGGGAGTGCAGAATAACAAGCTTGTCTGACTGGGTGAGGAAGCTCGAGGATCATGCGGCCAGAGCAGCGAGCTCTGACACGCAGCCTTCATCGGGGGTGAAGTTGATTGACTTTTACAAGTCGCTTCAGGGCCGTCCGCTGGATTTGGAGACCTGTCAGACTCGGGATGTGATTCCTCGGCTCGGGAGTATACCCCCTGTGAATGAGGGGTGGATGCGAGCATGGCTGAGGCAGTGGGCTCATCCAGAATAAGATGGAGATAAAAGGCCGTGAGCTAGGAACTATTTTCTGAGACTGTCCATTGGCAGCCACTTTTCGGGTTGGTTTAGGGTGTATTTCCATACTCATGAACCCATATTGCATGGTCACAACCCCATCTATCGACTTTTCTGAGCAATGCGGCCTGACTCACAGTTATACGCGATGCTCCCGCTGTACTTCTCGGTCAACCAGCTGGAGGGGTTATACTGCGTACAAGTTTGATTATACAAGACTCAGCGCTAGCGCAACGATGGCTTTCTTGTGCCCAAATTTGGGCGTCCTAAGTTGATCCCCGTTCAGAAAGGGTACTGAATTAATCTGGTAGTGCGGGGCGGTACCCAGCCCTGAGTACCTACGCCACTTACGCCCCTGAATGCAGAGCGTGGCTGCCCGCATCACTTTTCCTGGGACAGCCAATCCGGCTCATCCATTTCAGGGGAATTGATCGATCGAACAAATCGGGCGTGTAGTCCAGCCATCCATAGACTCCACCCATCCTAAAAATAGCCGCCCCAAAGACATCGACCAAGAACCCCGCCACATCACGTGCCATCCTTATCGGCTATCGATAAATAACTTATCCCCTGGCTTGAGAAACAAACATCACAGCAACATACACATACACATACAACACCTCGACTTTCCCCTCCATCGCACAACACACAACACACAACACCCGAAACCCCCCCCCTCACCACACACCAACCCTCCAACCCCACCAAGATGCCCCCGCACAACGGCCTCGTCCACCCGAAACAATACGACGTCAAAGACAGCAACGTCGAACTGATCAACAGCGCCCTGGACCACCAAGTGAAACACAACAGCGCCACGACCGAGCCCGCCTGGCGCGCCGTCGGCACGAATCCCGGGCTGTACATCTGGCGCATCGAGCAATTCGAAGTGATCCCGTGGCCGCGGGACCGGTACGGCGAGTTCTACGACGGGGACAGCTACATCGTGCTGCACAGTGCCAAGCCCCCAGCCCAGCAGCCGGACACCGACGGCGAAACGCCGCTGCAGCTGCAGCTGCAGCATGACATCTTCTTCTGGCTGGGCAGCCACACGTCGCAGGACGAGGCCGGCACCGCGGCGTACAAGACCGTCGAGCTGGACGAGTACCTGCACGGGGCGGCGACGCAGCACCGCGAGGTGCAGGCGCATCCGTCGAGCGAATTCGTGGGGCTGTTCCCGCGGATCTCCATCCGGAAGGGCGGGGTGCAGTCTGGGTTCCGGCATGTGGATGGTTCTGAGGAGAGGGACGAGGAAGAGGGGAGGATGATGCTGCTGCGCGTGTTCAAGCATGCCGGGGCGGCGCGGCCGGGTTCGTTGATCGTGCATGAGGTCGAGCCGACGTGGCGGAGCTTGGACGATCGGGATGTCTTTGTGTTGGATGTCGGGGATAAGATCTGGGTGTGGCAGGGTCGGGCCTGCAGTCCTATGGAGAAGGGGAAGGCGGCGCAGGTGGTGCATGATCTGACGCAGGCGAAGCACGTCGAGGTCGAGGTGCTGTCGCAGCTGGAGGCGCGCAGTAAGCTCGTCGTCGATATGCTGGGCGGGCGCGAGGTCGAGCAGCTCTCGTTCCGCGCGCCGCGGCCGATCTCGGAGAAGCGGAAGCGGGCGGCGGGCGATGAGGATGAGGATGAGAACGAAGGCCAGCGGGCTGGTGGCGCGCAGCAGCGCAAGTTGTTCAGGCTGAGCGATGCGGATGGCTCGCTCTCGTTTGAGCTCGTCAAGGAGGGGAGTCACATCGGCAAGGCGGATCTGGATGGCAAGGATATCTTCCTGTTCGATGACGGGGACCGGCTGTGGGTGTGGCAGGGGCTGGAGGCGAGTGCCGCGGAGCGCGCGCTGTGGTTGCGCGTGGCGCAGTCGTATGTGCGCTGGCTGCAGGCGAGTCCGGAGGGGTCCGAGGCCCATTTGATTCCCATTTCCAAGGTCGTGCAGGGCCATGAGAGTCCGGCGTTTATGCGCGCCATCGCTGCGGAGGCTTAGGGCCGTTGTTGGTGGGAGAATGAAGTGTACTGTATATATGCTATATATCACCTAACATATCACGTTTTCGGGATCTAGGCAGCAGGTTATGCTAACGGCCGGCATCGTGAGCATTGCTATAGTTATCTCCAAACACATTATAGTATCCAAACCTCAGTCCAGTACATACGAGGGGGATAATGCAGCTTGTTCCCCAGAGGAAGTTATCGCCTTCCTGCGGAGTAGTGTCAACCACCACACACCCGATTTGAAGAATTGGATTATGGATTACACCAATCCCAACCCTGACTTCCGTCTCATTCTTCACTGGCCCTATGCCACCGTGGCACCGCACCCTGCTCAAGGATCCATGTTCGGGTGGGGTGAGGATCACAAAAGAGGCAGGTAAGTGCGATTATGTAATCTCTCCAAATCAAATTAGGGTCCAAAGACCCACTTGTTGGAAGTGCTGTTTGGGCAGTCCAGTTGCGTACAGTTGCGAACTTTGGGACACTTTCAGGCAAGAGACCCCGCGGGAAAGATTTCCCTCTGGGATATGAACTTTTGTCCATCTTAATGATCCACATGCGGACCGGCTACACCAGGGCAGACTGGCTACTAATTTGTGTTTCTACTCGAAATAAAATTGAAAAACAAATCAACTTGAACTAGAAACCCACGGGAAAAGTACATGATGAGAATTCCGACTTTTTCGCTTCCTTGCCACCTCATTGCTGACTAAATTATGCTGATGCTGTGGGCTTAGTTAGGGGAGTTCGCACTCGACCCGCCGATGCCCCCCTCGCGCTTCCCACCCCCCCCTCCCCCCTCCTTCTCAACCCCTCCGGTTCCTGACTTGGCGCTGCTTCATCTGAGCTGCTTTGACGTGGATCGGCCGCTGCACGGAAAATGGGGCAACGCCACCGTTCTTTGACGGGCTGTGGCACCTGTCGCAATCGTCACCTGAAGTGCGACGAAGGCCGGCCAACATGCCAGATGTGTCGAACAACGGGGATCACATGCCCAGGATACAATGCCCAGGTCAAGTGGCCTTCCGTGCGCAGCATAGATGGAGGCTCCGAGAGCGAGCGATCTGGGGACCGTGTTTGCCGTCGGCCACTATATCAAGGTTGGTCAGCAATGGCCCGTTGCGAGCATCGGAATCGCTCCTCATTGACGCAACTGTAGTCGTCGAACAGGAGTCTATGACAAAGTCGACTGTCAGTAGCCTCGGGCCCACTACGGTCAACGCCGCACTGGAGAACATAGATCGTTGGTTGGAGACAGGCTATGGCCGCCGGCCTTTCTTTCAGGGACCATTTGGTGTTTTAGACCTGCTGCAAACCACGTCGTCGCGCAATCCCGAGGCTGTCGACGATGGGCCTCGAAGCCAAGCTGACGGACAGACGCAGGACTGTGGCAATCGAGGAAGTGTCGAGCGCTATGCTGCCGAGATGCATCCCATCGCCGACGAGTCAGTGCTCCCAGCGGCAAGCACCCATCGGCAACTGTTCGAACCGCCTCCACCGTCCACTGTGGCTTCCCCCTGTGATGATAGACTCCAAGACGCCTTGAGCCCTCATTCGCCCATGAGCCGTTCGTCTGTTGGCTGGGATATGCGAGGAGCCGCACTGTCTCCCGACGTTCCGCCCCGCGCTCTCGATCTTCTCCGTCTCTTCAAGGCCAACGCCCTTTCGTTCTCTTCGCCGTTGAGGGGTAGCCCAGATTGTCCTTGGCAGACAATCCATCTCCCTGCGGCCATGTCCACGTACGCGGAGTTACTGGTCACCCAGACGGCCAGTCACCACAGACTGTCCCTATTCCATTCGCTTGTTTCCGCTAGCTGCCTCTACGGTGGTGCGGAGCGCTTGCGAGACACCATGGACTGCGAGACGTCGCGTGTTTCGAGCCAACAGCTGGCCAAGCAACACCTCAAGCTTGCCCTGGAGGACGAGCGTACGGGCACGCACCCAGTGAAATACAAGGAACTTCTCATGGCCATACTTTCAATGGTTTATCTCGAGGTTTGCCAACTTCATTCAATCCGCGAAACGACTAGAAACGCTCATCGCTGCCACAGATTCTGTCTGAAGACTACCACGATGCCCAAAGGCTCTTGGTCGAAGCGGAGTGGTTGATACGACGGCGGGGATTCTCCAAGGCGCAAGGGTCGTGCCAGGCCCGGACTTTGCACCACGTCTACACCTGGCTGCGCATCCTCGCAGAGAGCACCTGCGGCTGTGCCCTGGTCCGAGTTTGCCCGGCACGCCCGAACGCCAGTCTCGTCGCGGATGGGAGACCAGCGCAGGCCCTTCGAAGCTTCCGGCTCCCCAGCACGGCCACGCTGAGCGAGCTCGACATGGAGGTTGAGAAGACCGACCCCGTCGGATATCAGGATCTCTACCTCGAGGTGATGGGCACCTGGAGCAGCAGTCTCTTCCCCGCCATGTACGGGATCCCGGAGTCCCTGATGGGCCTGTTGTCCCAGGCGATTCGCGTGGCCAACGAGCAGGAACTGCTGGCGCGCGACACCCTGGCGGACGTGGAATTCGTGACGCATCTCAACCAACGGGCCAGGCGGTTGGAGCACCGCATCTTGTCCTGGGACCAGAGACCGTCGCCGGCCAGCAGCGAACGCGACCGTGCACCTCCGCAGCCACCTGGCTACAACAGATTTGCCATGCACCAGAGTCTGATACTCTTCTACTATCGCCGCGTCCACAATCTCAATGCTCTTATCTTGCAGGAGACCGTGCGCAAGGCGTTGCGCTTCATCGAGCAGGCATGTAGCTCGAACACCACCGAAGGGCACAATTCGTCTCTACTATGGTCCGGTTTCATTGCGGCGTGTGAGGCCGTGGACAAATCGTTACAAGTGCGCCTGCTGGACTGGCTGCACGTCATGTTCCGCCGGACCGCGGTTGGCACTTTTGCCACTGCTGCAGACGTCGTGCAAAAGGTTTGGAAGGCACGGGAGGAGACCGGTGATTATACACTCAGCTGGTTTGACGTCATGGGGCATGATCGGTGCCCCATTATTGTAGTCTAGATCTCCATCCGGAGAAGATGAAGTGTACATAACGCCGATTACGCCAGCTTCTGCGCCGGCCGCGAGAAGTTCCGGGACGCCTCAGCGAGGACGACGCGCGCGATCTCACCCTCGAGTGAGGAGGGTCCTTGGGGCCGCCATCCTAGAATCTCTCGTGCCCGGATCGCCTGGTACTGAGCATTGGTGCCCCAGATGGCCGACCCGTGAGGCGTGAGTCTGTCCGCGGCGGCCGCATCGATCTCCACCACCTCCGGCGTCCGGATGAAACCCTGGGAGTGGGCGAAAGTTGCGATCCCTTTGCCGATATCTCCGAAAGACTAGAGAGTTACAAATTAGATATTAATTAGTTAATTAGTCCCGCTGCTGCAGGGCGTGTCCCGGGGTAGCTCACCATCTTGCCCGACTCGGCGAAGAAAATCCCATTCTCATTCCATAATTCCGGGTTCACCGGTCGCGTGGATTCGACCACCAACCTCAGGAAGAGTGCCGTCAGATCGGATACGTGGATCGTACTCCATGTGTTGAGGCCGCGGCCGAGATGAAGGCCGTGTCCGTGTTGCAGGGTTGCCTTGGCGAGGTCGGGGATCTGGATACTCCGCTGATTCACGGGCCCTCGGCCCTGGCCGTAGATGAGGGGTCCGTAGACCGTGGCCGTCCTCACCCGAGGGTTGGTGGCATGCACTCCGCGGATGATCTGGTCCACCGCACGCTGCGGCGAAGCGGCAAGGATCTCATGAATCTCGTGGATTTGGTCCAGATCATTGTAGATCTTGGTGCCGGGTTGGCCGAAGCTCTTAGCCTTCATCTCCGCGCCGGCCAGGAAACTGGCGCCAGAGATCTGGATCCATGCTGAGTGTTGATCAGCTGAATATTCCATCGAAACATTTTTTTTTCTTTCTTTGGAAGAAGGGGGGGAGGTGGGGGGGAGACTTACTTGGGCTTTTACGCTCGCTCTTCGCCAGTCCTTCAGCAATAGCCTTAGCACTAGGCACGTGACTGGAGCTTGCCAGATCTGTAAGTTGTCCATATCACTTGTCAACACCATGGTTATGGTAATTAGGTGTTTGTCTGGGTTGGGGGTTTGAAACATACGAAGCACCACATCAGCCGTAGACGCTGCTTGTTGGATCTCTACACTGGAGTCCAGGTCTGCAATGAGCGGGATCACCGTTGGAAATCGTCCTGCAACGACCGCGGCCTGGCTCTTGTTGCGCACAAGGGCAACGATGCTGGACGCCGTCAGGGTCTGAGTAAGGCCGTGGAGGACGTCTCCCCCGATGAAGCCGGTAACACCTGTACTGCAGAGAATGAGTTCCAATCCACCAAAAGGCTTCCTGCCAGTGCTCACATGAAGACCTTCGGACTCATACTGAATGAATGAATGGACTTTGATGTGTTTGTGGATGTAATCTCTCAACATTGTCGTCTCCGTGGATTGCGCAGACATTCTTATACTCTCACAGCATCCATACGTAATCGGGGAAACCTGCCTGGGGGATCAATCAAGATGACATTAATGATGGAAGTGGGTCCCCGGAAGTGGGGGGTCGGTCGGCTTAATTCCCGCCTTTCGTGGACTGTGCAACTACTATGTAGTTACGGAGTACTAACTGCCTCTTCCCCACAAATGTGTGATGGGAAGTGGCAGGTTATCGCGAGCGAGCAAGCCCCAACCAAACATCTAACTACCATCCACAGGTGCTGGCCGCTACGTATGTAGATGTAATCACCAAGCAAGATCATCCTTGCAATCCTCCGCTACCAGAGCCAGCAACCAGCAACCAGCAACAACTGCATGCGCCAGCAACTCGCCCCCGAGGTCAACGTAGAAACCGCTCGGTACGCTGCCGAGGTTGTTCGTGAGTATGGTGACAGGTTTGGCCCCGATCCCCTGCGTTGCCAACCCTCCGGTCGACGCTGCGGGGTACTCGTGCTGCAGAGGTCGCCGAGCTCGCGGGGGATCCAAGGTGTCAATCGGAGGCGCGTCGGTGGTAACACATACAAACATCTTCATGGCGGACGAGCTGATCGTGCATGGCCGCTTCAGGACACTGGACCTATGCTCGCATTCCGGAAGGTCGTTGTCCCCCCGGCGAAACGCGCGGTGATCTACCTTAGTAGTAGGCACTTCTCAGCCAATTTAGGAAGTCATTGTTTTTTCTTTGACTACGAGAGTCAAGATATCCAGAGTATGTATCCCCGCAATGCTCTTTCGATATTGCAGATGATCAGTGAGCGAAGTTCCATTTGCCGGATGGCCTGGCTGCAATGGTCACCTTCCGTAGGGCGGATCCGATGCTACAGAGGAAAAGGGCAATTGGACAATTGAAGCCCTTTGCTTTTGTCGTAGATATATACCCAACTCGCTGATTGAGACGGGATCAAGTACTCCGTACAAGCATCGACAAGCATATCCAGCGCGACCGCCATCATTCCACTGACCCGCGCGACCCCTCACTTAGGGCTAAGGCAGGCTAAGGCAAAGGATCGGCCCTCCGCATGACTCGTCCTAGGCCAGGATACGAGACTGGCGGCGCCTGCGCCATGTGATGTGCCTACCGACTTGTGATCAACCTATTAGTTATCACTCCTTCATGCATCTATTCAATAATCCCCAATAGATCGACAGGGGTATATTACCCAGCAGACAGATCACCCCCGATCATTCCAACATTCCAGGACCTCCTACGGAGCGCATTCCGTTGCCTTCGGCTAGAATTGCTCGCTCCCATAACTCCTCAACCACCTTTCTCCAGTCCAGTCCATGCGAGCGCCACTGACTCGGTGCAGACTGCACCCCTAGTCAGCTGGACCCGCGAGATCAGCCACAGGGCGCCGCGCGGTGGGCTCGCTCGTATCGGCGGGCGAAAGAAGCAATATGCTGGAGATCTCGACGGGGGCTGCCTGAGGGCTGGATCTGAGTGGGCAGTCCGCAACTGAGAGATCGGCATGGCCTGCCAGGTTGACATCGCCAGCTCGCTGGCTGGGCATATAAGTCTGCCTTTCCCTGCTGCTCGCTACCGCTGAACCCTCGCCAACCCAACCCAACCAGTCCAACCGCCATGCACATCCCATGGTCCCTGCTCACAGCAGCCACGCTGCTCGCGCCCCGCGCGCTGGGCACCCGCACCAGCCCCAACCCTGGACCCAAGAACACAACGCAATACAGCGTCCAGGAGCTCTGGACCCTGGAAAGGACCTTCTGGGATAACTTCCTCTACCCGGCCAACCTGGTGCAGACGAAAGCCATCAACTCGACCCTCTTCGCTCCTGACGTACGCTGGCAAACCCTACCCCAATCCCCAATCCCCC